GGTCGCTTGGATGCGGTGTTGTGTTGGCACGATCGTTCCGTTACTTTAGTGGGTCGAATTTGTCGTGGTGGGGTGTTGTTCTTGGTTGTGGTGGTTGTGTGGGGGGCGTGGTTCTCCGTTCAGCAGTAAGTTCAGGTTCCCTTGAGTGGCAAAACTATGGGCGTTAATGGTCGTTAGATTGTGATAGTGACAAAAAAGGTCTCGAACTTCGGCACAGTTGTAGCTATGGCAGAGGGTTGCAGGTTGGTGTTTCTCTGGTATATTTATACGGGCGAGGTTTTGTCGTGTTTTTCACCTTTTTGGGACGGCAATGTGCGCGTCGGTGCCTATTCAATTGCCATATGGCTGTTTTAGGCTGGTTTCTTTTTTTTGTTCTTTGGGAAAATTCCAAGGCTCGGTTTGGTTATTGTGGTGGGGTGGGGTGTGGTTGGCGTGTGTCGGTGGATCCTGGAGGGGTCAGTGCACTGGCTTGATTGATTGCTGCCTTGCCCTTTTGTTGTTGTATATTTGGCGCGGTGCGGGGCGTGGGCTATATCTATCTTTGCCTGTTTTCTAGGTTTCGTGTGTGGTTAGTTCGAATCAACTATAACACGGTTGCTGGCTGGGGCGGTGCTGTAGGCGGTTGCGAGTGAGTGACGGGTGAGAAGTACCGGGGAGTAGTCGCAGGAGGGGAGAGCCAATAACAAGCATCGAGTAATGATTTGGTGTTGCAGCGTTTCCTGAATAGGCGGGCCATATAAAATTGTATTTTACTGTGTACTTCGCATTAGTTGCGATACTGTTGGGAGGGGGGTTGGGTAGCAGGGGTTAGGTCGGGTTACGGTGATTGACTTTACATGGTGTGGAGAGTTGTTTGTGTTATTTCATGGTTTATTAATAGTGCAAGAGTTTCGTTTAGTGTGAGGGTGTATCTGAGTATTTTGGTGTATGGGGAAGTTTTTGTTTTTTGCGTGGTTATTTTTAGGTGTGCAATAAGTGGCTTGGGTGTGTTTGCGGCTTTCTCGATTAGTTATTTGGAATAGTTGCCTGTGTCGCTTTTGATAATTGGCCGCGTTGTTGGGGTGTGGTTCTGCATTGTGGCCGCTGTTTTGTGGGTTGTCTATTTAGTAGCATATTATGAATTCAAGCGAAGGGTGTTTCTTCTACTGGTTGCCTCTTATTGTTTGGCATGTATAAAAGATTGTTTGCTCTTTGTGGGTTCGGCGTGGTGCTCTGTGTGTTCGCGTGTTTGTTTGTCTGGTTCGCTATTATTCGAGGTGTGCCTGGGCTCAGGTTGTTATATGGCAGTACTTGTTGGTTAGTAATGGTTTTTAGGGATGTGGGTGTGGTTGTGCGCAAGTGCAGGGGGAGTATTTGTGTTCGTTGTTAGAAGTGGAATTTTTCAGTATTGATTAGTAATGTTCGAGGGGTGATCTATGTGTTTTTCATCGTGGCCGACGGTTTTCGCTGACCTTGCTTGTTGGGCTGTTTCTTGATGGTGGTTTTCCTGGTTGTGGGCCCGGGTGTTTTGGTTGGGTGTGTTTTTTTGATTGCTTTTTTGTTTTGTTTTTGTTTGTGTATGTATCATATGCCATATATCATTGTACGTTAGCTGTACTTGTGTGCTATGCGGGCTGCTTAGTACACACGTTAAGGCGGGCCGCGGTTAATGGGTGGTTGCGGGTCGGGTGGTTGCGGTGGACATGTTCAAGGGGTTCATGTTGGTCTGGTCTCTGCGGTTGTTTTGCTATATTATTTGGCTAGTGTTATTTATATGTTGACGTAATCGTGGCGTCTGGAATATAATGGCTCTGTTGTCAGGTAGCTATCATGTTGATAGTATAGATTGTCAGGGGGTAGCGCTAAGACATGTTTCGTATATTGGTTTTGGTTATCTGTCAGGAAGGGTTTTTTTAGTACAATGTAACTGTCGCAACCGGCGTATGCCTGTTTTTGGCGGCGGAAAGTATGGATGTTTAGTACAGCGTATTGCGTGATTTGGTTTTTGGTGTTCTATGGTCGGCGCCCAGGTGTTTTTTTCTTTTTGGTGTTTATTGGCTGTGCGCATGGGTTTGAGTGATTAGGTTGGTTGAGGTTTAGCTTTATGATGCTCGATACTTGTTGGTGTCGTTATTTATGTTGGTTTGGTGTATATCTGTTAATTGGGATTTAGCTAGTGTGTCGTAGCTTGGAAGTAGGGCCAGGAACGTCGAATTAGATTCAGCGTGCTGAGAGGACCATGAGGTTCTGAAGAGCGGTTGTGTTGTAGCAGTGTGATCTGAGGGTTGTGGGGGGTAATTTGTAGAAAATGTATACTCAATTATCGTATGGCTGCTGGGGTGTGTTGTTTTGTCTCGAGACTATTAGAGTTATGTACACTATCCTACGGCCATAGCCGGCAACGTATATATTATCCTATGACGATACCATGCGTAATTTTGGTTAATTAATTAAGCTATTGCGTGTCAAGTAAACTTCAAGAATTTTACAGAGACCAATGAGCAAGAGTATTGTTTGGGTTGTTTATGTTGATGGTGTATTCGTTTTTGGCGTGGGAGGGTAATTTTAGAAGAGGTGTTAGATTTTCGAAATCCTTTTTTTCGTCTTGGTTTGGTTTGTTGGGTGTGTGGTGTTTTGTTTGGAGTATTTAGTTAGAGTTAGTGTATCGCGTATTTCTGGCTACGGGGTGCGGGTGGCC